GCATGTATACGGTGCAACAAAACAGTGGAAACTCTTTACAGAAATGCACAGCGGAATCGTGCGCGTGTCACATTCGCGCCCCTTCAAACATTGCCACAGTTTAACATAAAAAGCAGCTGGCTCAATCAGGCATTTGTTCCACTCACTTGAACACCACCATTCTCCGCTTCTCCACCATCCGCGCAATCCTTTTTTCGACCCTTCAAATTTTTTCAGTGAAAAAAAAACCCGCAAAAAAAGAACTGAACTTACATTTGGAATGATAAATTACGGCCGCTGGAAGGCCGCACCGCAATCTTAAAAGAAGTGGACGGTCCAAAGAAGCCAAAAATGTGGGATGGCCGGGGTCAAAGCATGCGTCTCAACTAATGCGTATTTCCAAAATTATGATATGCTGACTTCTGTACCATACTCTTAATATGTCTGTATATCCTTCAGCTGACAGACACGCCACAGCGGGAAGTAGCAATGCCGTTATGCAGTAAGTCGAAGGTTCGTCTCCGCCCTTAGAAAAACCAATCACTCTATGTTTTGATGGTAAATTGGTACTGGTGCATGCCAGAGAGACTAACTCACCACCAACTCAATTCTCAACAACCCTGGGAAGACGGAGTCATCTACAACCACGTCAGCTTTTGGCATTTAATACTATTTCGACTAATCTCAAATGACTCTATCTCTTCCAAGGAGTGAATATAAGGAGATCTTGATTTTGACACTGTTTCACAGTTCCCCTGTAAAGATATCCCCTCAAAATCAGTAAATGTTCAAGTCAATGACAAATCAAAAAGAGGAAAAATTTATTTTTGCCGCTTGAACCTGACAAAATTTACTTTTGCCGTTTGAGCACGACTCAGTGAAAAATTTTAAATGCTAATCATATAATAATAAGCCAAAACTCCCTCCGTACTCATTTTCTATGAGGCTCGGAAGCACCCGAATGCAATCTGAATAACAGCATATGTCAAAGTAAGCACCAGCAGCTGGCGAGCTCCTTCTTTCGAAGGTTACCCAGTGGTTTTGACTCTTCTGCGCCCCTCCCTCCCCGCCCCTCTCCTCCCCCTAAATACAAAACAATAATAATCCATCATCCAAAATTAAAAATAGACCGTAGAAGAGGCTCGTTATCCCATGGCAAAGTGCAATCCTCGACCTGCCGCATAAGAAAAAAAAACTCGCTACTGCGCCATGCCTTTACCCTGGTAATTTTTTTTAGGACATTCTACTCATCAAATTTCAGTGGCATTTTAGTCACTAAATTTACGATGTTTGGGCTCAAATTCTTGTATATTTCCACTAAAAAAATGTTAGATGTCAAACCCTTACAATTTACGAATTTTGCGAAACGCCGATGTGATTCCCTACTACCCATAAATCCCGAAAAGCAAACCTGAGTACCACAGAGCAGTGATGCAAGTGCGGAGTCACAACACAATTCTTCGGGCGTGAAATCTGTGCACGACGGTATGGCACGTCCATTTGGCAGTTTTGTTGCCGGATTGCGTAACTCATCGAAGAATGCGTTGCCGCATGCCTCCAGAGCAGTGGGTCGTTGGTTGGGTGAATAGACAAGTAGGATCGCGATCAGAGCAATTGCTTCTGGACTGGTATTTGAGCGAAACACGCGTGGCCACGGGTGAGCCTGCAAACCGCATCCAGTTGACAGGGTTGATACTCTCGAACGCGACACCTACAATCTCTTATCTTACTGACAACCGCTGCCAACAACGCGTACACATTGAGGAAGTGCTATATTCACAATAAAATAAAGTAGTTACTCAAGAGATCCAACTGCAGTAACGCTAAGAAATGTGTACGATTTAATGGACCGAAACATTTCTTACCTATTACAAATATTTTATTTATACTCCCCCGACCCCCCTTTTTCCACTTCATTCCCCTCCCCCCGCCCCCCTTCTTTTTTCTTCTCCTCATTTTCTACCTTACTTTTAAATGCACGAAATATGTCACATGTTGTGCTGTTTAGGAGGATGGGTACAAACTGAAGATGCGCAACTCAGCACATCTGGCCAGGCCCGTGGATATATCCCGGACACATTCGACTTTTATACCCTAAATCCGGCAGGTTTCCGTGGCAAATTTATCAAAACCCACAAAATTAAAAAAAAAAAGTTGAAAGAAGAGCCTCATGTTGCCGCAAATTATTGGAAATAGTACGAGAGTCCTTCCCTAGCAAAAGCAAGTAATTGTTACCATCACCTTGATAGGTGGAAAACTGTGTTCTTTGTAATCAGGATTCATGTCATGAATATGAGCTTTTGTTGGTGTACCAAGAATTTTGATGATCTCAACGAGCTGATCAACGCCCGAATCACCGGGAAATATTGGCTGGCCCAATAACAGTTCCGCGAGTACCGTTCCTGCTGACCAGATATCGATGCTAAAAAAACACAAAAAAAAAGCAATTATTGTACAAAATGAAATTTCCCGGATTAATTTTGATAGCTCTTTGGAGCACTGTCAAATAAGAACAACTTATTCACTATTTTTAACATTCTCTGAGCAACCCTTCTATGCGCACACAAAACAGATGACTGACATCAACGAAGATAACAGCAGCTTCGTTCATTGGACACCTAGTCTTCTAAATATGTCCATAACTGTAATTAAGCATGATGCTGCTAGTCAGAATACGGCTAAGCTGGTCTTTCAAGCCAAAAAAACAAGAACCCATAAGACATTTTTCAAAGAAAAGGAGTTCCAGAAGCGACAATCAGCTCAAAAGGCCTATTTTATCTGAATAAATACTCAAACTCTAACTCGTACAAAAGAACCCAATATCAAGAAAACCAGCCCAGAAAAATTTTTATCAATTTTTCGGGTAATTCTTTACTTTCACAAAGCAAGTCACAATCAGAGCAACTCTTTTCAAATTCCTGTGATTCTGCTTTGAAAATGATGAAAAATCCGAGAAATCAACAATTTTCTTTTCCTTCATAAACAATGGAAGGATCCACATAGGCATTTAAGTGACCGAAAAGAATGCAAGGAACGTATTTCGTAAAAAGAAGCGTAACAGCGCAGTAGTTCAACTGCACATTCAAAACTCATGCACTTACCTGTTTGTATACTTGGTCGAACCAAAAATAAGTTCCGGGGCA